GGAAAGCTCAACTCAAAGATCATGTAAACCCTATCTGAATTATATTTTGTTTTTGAATGCATGGTGAATCATAAATAATTACAGTTATCAGTCTAGCTAATCTCTAGCAGCCTTTTTGCAGTACCTTCCTGTCTACAAGCATGCACTTCAGCACCTGCTACATGTCATTTTTCAGGGAAATGTTCCTGATGGTGACAAAAGTGTTATGTGCAACACTACATAATAACATAGTTACATAGTTAGACAGGTTGAAAAAAGACACAAGTCAATCGAGTTCAACACTGTGCATCGGCACAACTGCTTGTAGTCTGCATTGGTAGTGTATCAGGTTGACAATACAGGGGAACAGTTCAGAGAAAGGGACAAAGCATTACCACTCTAAGATAGGAAGTGTCTGACTAATGCCTTTAATTGTAGGATCAACCGATGTTATATTAATGGAAGCTGAAGTTTTAACAATATTGAACAGTACTTTAATAACAACTTTAAAGTTTAAAGCATATATGAAATTGTAATGATTTGGTCTGCATATATTCTATCACCACTTTTGTCACTACAGGGTCACTTTTCACTTTTAAACAAAGCCTACACTGTAAAAGTAAAGCATGTACAGTATATTTACCTTTCCAGTGGCCTATGTTCTCAAAACTCTCCTGTCTGGCTTCTTCCAAGCCGCTGCAGGTATTCAACACGTCTAGGTGTTGTAGTGCCCGCCCCCCCCCGTGTCTTGTAGTGATATGCAATGCAGAAGGATGAACACCCCAGTGTGTGGCAAGAGGAGCAGGTATTTACACACCCATGTTTGTTAAATACCTGCAGCAGGTAAAACAGAGTTTAAAGACATTGGCCACTGAAAAGGTAAGTATAACTGCTTCTCATTTATAAGGCGGGCTTTATTCACAAGTGACCCTGTAGAGATTAATACATCATACAGGTTAGACAAATCATTACCATATAGTAATTATAAGGTTGCTTTTGCTTGGCTAGTAAAACACCAGAAATTAATGTAAAGTCAATTGGTGCAAAAATTTCCTAAATGTATTTGAGAAGAGGCCAAATTATTTTACTGTTTCTGGCAATGAAATACTATAAAGCAACTTTATAATAGAATACTTGCTCATTTATCTTATGGATACCTTTTCATCCCTTTCATTATATCATCCGGTCTTGATAATTCCCTAAAGCATATACATACAAAAAGGGTCTTAAATATGTGGTCCGTGGCTACCAGAAATTCTACCTTGCTGACAAACCTCTACAGCTGCCAGCAAGGATATTGCTGCTAAAAAGGTTCACATCAATACTATAAAGTCCCTTTATAATAGCTTACATAGTCATTTAAAAATGTGTTTCAGGGATGCCCCTTTCTTTATCTTATCTAGTATCTTATCTCTTATCTACTATTAATAGTACCCTAAAATCATACAAAATAGGCCTATGTGGTCTGTGGCTACCAGAAAATGCTACCTTGGTAGCACAACTCTACAGACCCCAGCCTGGAAATTGTTACTAAAAAAGTTTACTTCTTTCTCATAATAGAAAAGCCTGGAAACAACTCTAAACAAAGAAAGGAATATGGCGCCATTTGTCAAAACTTGTCAACCTTTTATTAATATAACCTTAAGATAAACTAAACATGCAATAATAGACTTCTTCTTATACACAGAGTGATACTGTTTAGAGATGACATGAGGATGTTCTCCTGCAATATTGTAACCCTTATTCATGGTTGGAAATTCCTAATTGTTTACTGTTATTTTAGTCTCTGGTCAGTATCCCAATGGGTGGTGGATGGGAAAGGGAGTTATTTCTGTAAATGTTGCTGCTGTTTATTGTTCTTGCTCTCTGCTTATGTGTTGTAATAAAAATAGAAGTAAAAAGAGTATTACCAATTGTAAAACAATAGAAATAACGGATTTGCCATTGTTGACTTATTTTTGAAGAGGTAAGCATTGGGGCTGTCATTCTCATCCTTCCCTCAGTGTCTAGTAGGTCAGTAACCTGGAACAATCATGGACATAAAGAAGTGCCAGGACATCCAACAGGCACATACATGTTTCATGTCACTAAATCGTTTAGTAGTAAATCAAGGATAAGGATGACAACTCAAAAATGAAACCTTTAGAAGCAAGTTAGCAATGGCAGTTTTCCTTTTTGTATCCTGAAACCTTGCCAGCCAGGGAACTAGCATTTTCAGAAGAAAATAAGCAGTGGCAGCAGATGTAGTTCTCTCAACATACTGTAGGTTTAGCATATAGTGGATTTATATATTTTTTGTTTATTAGGTGACTAGTGAATATGCCTGGGTTTGTTTAATAAGGGTTTATCGTATCTTGTTCAAAATGCAGCAAACCTGAATTTAGATTCTATATGGTGTAAATCTTGTTAAATTCTGGCCATTTTTAAGGTTAATAGACAAACCACTGTCCAACAAAGGCATGAAAATCTGGGCACTGCAATAGGGGGCTTTTTTAAACTAGCATAACAGGGAGAGGGTTTTTTTCATGCGGCTTTGATGGTAACATTGAAAATACTTTAATAACATGCTTGGGGATGTTTTAAAGCCGTGTGGTATTACAGAACAGTATGATTTTTACAAAAAGTCAGTGACAGTGTACACCGGCAGCATATATTTGGCTGTGGAATTGATTTATTTTCTTTTTGAACTAGCTTGCCTTACATACAGCCCCACTTTGACCAGCAGACAGAAATTGGCCATTAGTTTGCTGTAGCGTTCCCTATTCTCACTAATACAAAACTGTGCTGATGCTAGACAATTTTTTTCAAGCTCAAATTAGGCATGAAGAGACACAGATGATACAGCAGTGTACGATTGTCCAGCAGCAGGACATTTTAAATGAGGGATAATTGGCTGAAATGTAATAAAGAAAACAAATACAGGCAGTTGTTTTACTACAAGGGTTAAGAGGCTATAGATGACACAGCAGTGCCAATTTGCTAGCAGAAAGCCAATTTTAAATACCAAGGCTAGGCCTAAATTTACTGCAGGCAAAAGGCATAGTCTGGGGCTTTACTACAAAAGTTACCAGACTGCAGAGGATACAGCAATATAAAAATGGCATACAGGGATACAGGAATAATATGCCAAAATGTACTAGACACAAAGGGGGTGATTTACTAACCTAAACACACACACACACCAGGTGTGTGTGATTTTCACACAGCAAAACATATTTATCAACCAAAAGTCTCTAAAAGCATATTTCCACTAATGCCATATATGGAAAAATCATGCACATGATGCATATATAGTGCTGCTTCACAGTTTAGACAAAAATGGTTAGCTCATGCATTTACATTTCTTGCATTCATCAACGCAAGCAACATAACATAGAGCTAATTTACACCACATTACCTTGCAATTCATTGCAGGGCTTTGCACAACACACCTGCTGGGTGTGTACACACTACAAAGGTGTTTCAATTCCTCCCATAGATCATGCTGGGAGGGAACACACTACAGAGGTGTATACACGTTCGTGGTGTGTTTAAAAGGTTAGTAAATCAACCCCAAAGAGTTCAGGCAGGTGTTTTACTACAAGAAATACAAGACCACACATGATACAGTAGTGTAAAATTGGCCAGTGGCAGGACAATTTTAAATAGCAAGTCTAGACTCAAATTACTAAAGGCATACAGCACAAGCTTGTATTTTACTACACAAATTAAGATACTGCAGGGATACAACCATGTAAAATTGGCCAGCAGCAGGAAATGTTTTAATTAGGAAAAATAGGTCCAACTGGTGTATGCCTAAATGTTCTTTTTACTATGGGATGGGGGTTGGAGTAAAAATAAGTTATATATTTTGTGGTGGGTTTAGATGACATTTTTTCAAACTATGCAACAGTGTGCTGTGAACAAACACAAAATACTAGTTTGCCATGGATTGGACAGAAGTTACATGTGACTGCTGATCTCAAATCAACCACAAAAAATGCCCCCAATAATTAGAATACAATAAGATAACAAAGGGGTCAATTTCCCAAACAGCTAGCAATCATAATTAAGTACAGTTTCCTAACTGTACTTTTTTTTTCTTAAAGACTTCCTTTCTAAGCCTCCTTGACCAGGATTAAAAGCTATGCAGTGCATTATAGTTTAAAAATCCTCTTGGGCCATTCTGCAAATAAGTTTATTGGTACTACAGATCTGGAAACTCAAACCCATAAGATTCACTTCAAACCTATGATAGCAGTGAATCCAAACCTTATCCCTAGTCAGGACTAAAAAAAAATGTGTTTTATGTCAGGTAAAAAATAAGCTATTTTGGGAATATAAGGAATTCTTCGATCCAGCAGCAGGTGGACCTTAAAGCTGCTTTTCCTATTGTTTTCCTCTTCTTTGCTACATTATAGTAAAAAACCTGTTTTTTACAGAGCTCAATATCTGAAATATACCTAAAAAATATCTGGAAGTTACAAGCAAGTGAGTTAGTGTGCCTCATTGCCTCTTACCCTGAATGCCTCTATCAGATGTTTCAGCAGCAGACGTTGTATCTGAAAGGAAATTATATATTGCTGTGCATCCAGTATTTAAATAGGAAAAGGGAGAAAACCTGAAATGCAAACCTGATCCAAGGCAGTATTTATTAACAGCCTGGGGAATGTTTTACCATATATATTGTATGTTTATACATTTCAAAAAGTGTGAACCTAAAAACATAAATAAAAATAAAATGGGCTCTAATTATTTAAGTTAACTGCTTTGCAGACAAAATAATTATCTGCAATATTTTTTTTTAGATAGATAGATAAAGATATTGACAACCATAAATGTTTGCATGTTTAATGCAAATGTGTAAGTATAGATACTGTACCAAATCTGACCATGTGTCAGCTGTTATTAATATTGTTTAGTTACAATATCAATATTTTATTGCACATTGCAGCTCTTAGTACACTCTCATTATAGAATTCCATTACTTCAAAGATCACTATTAATAAAATAAATGCTGTGTATTTTATGTCTTTCTACAGACAGCTCAGACGGTTTTGGTCGTTGTGGTGGTGTTTGGAATATCATGGCTTCCTCATCACGTGATCTATATGTGGGTTGAATTCGGAAACTTTCCACTCACACAAGCTTCGTATGTCTTCAGAATTACTGCCCATTGTCTTGCATACAGCAACTCCTCTGTGAATCCAATCATTTATGCTTTTCTCTCTGAAAATTTCCGGAAGGCCTACAAGCAAGTATTTAAGTGCCAGATTGGCTGCGACTCCATGCAATCTGATGCTAAAGAAATAAAAAGCAAAATGGAAACACCTCCTTCTACAAACTGCACTCATGTTTGACTAAAATGACCCGGTTGCAATGTTCAGATCCATTAGTGCAGTAATGAGATTTCAAAGCACAAGTATACTTGGCTAAAATTGCAGGTACATTGTCTAGTTTTAATGTAGCTGGCATTTGCTTCAGTTAGCTTACATTTACTAAGTTACATACTCTAAGCTACTGCTACTACATGATTGGTACAAAAACAAATGAAGTACTCTTGATCAAAAGAGACACAAGAAGGGTACCCTGGTAAAGTTTTAAGCTGTAAATAAAAATGTTTTTATTTTAAAGAATCATGCAAAATGCTATGTGAGCTGGTTTATGTTGGTTTATGTATGCAAAAATATAATTAACTGACTATTATTATACAGTATCATCATATATGCATTTTACAATTATAGTCTGCTCTTATTATGACTGCTGTAAAATAAAGCTTCTTACAGTAAATCTGGTGATAGCATTAACAAAGCATGCTAAAACAATTTGTCATGATACAAACTATTCAAAGTAAGCAGTTTTTATGACTAATTAAAGTTGAACTCAAGGCAAATACTAAGACTAATTAAAGTTGAACTCAAGGCAAATACCTAATTACACAGATGAAATGCATACAAGAGAGCTGTTTAGCATGACAAAGGATCTGTACTCCAATCTATACAGTCCTGAAATTTACACAGCTATGTCACAAAGCATAGCTCTTTCTGGCAGGGAAGAAGATCTGATTCTGTCATATACTATACTATATAGTTCAGTGTTTGGATAGTGAAAGGTGAAGCACCAAACCAATGAGTTCATCTCTGTTTTGCTCTACTCTCTCCACCCTACAATCAGCTAGAGTCTTGTTAGTATATGAGCACTGCAGTACAGCTGACTGGCTTCTTGTACTGCTTTACCAATTGACATGAGCCTAGTTAGTACATGAGCACTGCAGTACAGTTGACTCCTTGTACTGCTTTACCAATTAGCATGAGCCTAGTTTGTACATGAGCACTGCAGTACAGCTGACTCCTTGTACTTTGCCAATCAGCATGAGCCTAGTTTGTACTTGAACACTGCACTATAGCTGACTCCGTGTACTTTGCCAATCAGCATGAGCCTAGTTACTACATGAGCACGACAGTACAGCTGACTCCTTCTACTGCTTTACCAGTCAGCATGACCCTAGTTAGTACATGAGCACTGCAGCACAGCTGAGTCCTTGTACTGCTTTACCAATCAGCATGAGCCTAGTTAGTACATGGGAGCTGCAGCACAGCTGACTCCTTGTACTGCTTTACCAATCAGCATGAGCCTAGGCAGTGCATAAGCACTGCAGTGCAGCCAACTCCTTGTACTGCTTTACCAGTCCGCATGTACCTAGTAAGTACATGAGCACGGCAGTACAGCTGACTCCTTGTACTGCTTTGCCATTTCCCACTTTGGGCACTGCTGTACAGGGACTAGAAGAGGCTGATACCTGGTCAAACTCAGGTACTTACCTAGTTTGCATTTTTAAAATACATTTAATGATGTATTACTGAATACCGAGCTATATTAATTTGTGTCTTTGAAATCTGTCTGGAGTTCAGCTTTAATCATTAATAAATGTGAAATTATATTAACAAAATGTATCTAGTGTCATGGTCAGCTGATGTATACCAGCTATTTAAAAAACACAAGCGGCTTTATTGCATCCTTTAGATGCAAATGCACATTTTTTTATTCTGTATTTATGTGTAGGTCAATATATCTGCTCACAAATAATGTTAAAAAAATAATGTAATGAAGCCAATTTAATATCTTTGATTTTATAGGTTCTCATTTTTAAAATAATTACTTTTAAACATGGCATATGCATATATCACTGAATGGATGAACTTACTGTGGCACAGGCCATTTTTAGCAAGGATTCAAACTTATTACACAGGGAAAGATTTGCTAACTAAATATTTTCTTCCTTTAGCCCCATAGGTGTGTTTTTTGGCTAAATTTAATATGTGGATTTAAAAGGTTAATATGTTTGATGTTTTACTGTAGAATGAATCCTGTCACCTAATGTATGAGGACTGATGATTTTCTTGGAATATTTTATTTCCTTCTTCAAATTCCAATTATGGAACTAAATTGGTGAAGTGTGCCTGCATTAAGGAATGGGGTAATTTTCAAAGCAAATATTAGCAAAATCAGAGCAGGAATGATACAAATAACTATTTAAATGACATTTGTCACAATAAATTGATGTCAATTATTTTTTAAATGTATTACCATAGTATTTTCATAGTCATGATGTTTTTAGTGAAACATTTGTGTTAGGTATATAACATTTAAAAAACTAAACTGAATTGGTCATTAGCCTTGTAAAATAAAATATTTACTTTGGCAAAACACCAGACGTAAATATATATAGCAGTGAATGTGACATTCACTAAACATTAACCAGAGGTGTATCTTCCTGGTACATGTGTTTTAAATTGCAGTGATTGATCCACCTACAGGTCATGATTGGTGAATGTCACATTTCCTGTATATAAATATTCACCTCTATTATCAATGATTCCAGCAAATATACAGGGAAGATTTTCTTTACTTAGACCTGTAAATGTGTGTTTCCTTTTTCTGCACTTATATGGAGAATAAATAACCATTTTGTTTTTAATTAAGCTGCAGAAGGTTGGTAATATTAATTGGACAGACTCACTTCATGGAAAAATACTTTATAACCCCTAATAAGTGTTTTAATACACTACCCCTGTACCAATGTAAGTTAATCATATTAGCACTAGATATTGTATGTACCTCTTCCTAACAGAATATATAAACAGGATATACTAAGCTAAGACCCTGTAGAGTCTTTCTGTTACCTGATACTAGCAATGCCCACCTATCATTTAACTCTCTTATAATTGCTTTTCACTTATTTCAGAGATGGAGATCTGGTATCATGAATTTAAAGTAAGGGAAGGTTACCAGAACTGGTGCTGTTAGTACATAGCAAGCGGCTTCAGGTACTTAAATATTACACTAGGTTTCCTTTTGAATACCCAGGTGTCCAGAGCCATGACCCTTTTGCTACGGATAATCCAGCCTCCTTTATGAAGGGTCTGGCTCTGCTAAACCCACCTCCTAATCCTTGCAATTGGTGCACCAATGTTAAGCCAGTGCTAAGGCTTTGGATAAGGAAGGTATACCAGAACAGCTCTGGATTTGGTGCAACTGGGTGTTGAACTGTGCTCAAGATGCCTGCTTTATGCTGAAATCAGAGGCTCATGTAAGTCCTGCTTACTTTAGGTTTGCTGTAAGAGTTGTATCCATTGATAGTTAAGCATCTGCTTTTTTAAGAAAAGGTTAGCAATGGAAGCATAAATATTTTCTCAACACGGGTCTTCTTTAAAGCCAATCTCCAGGCAAAGAGATAATATAGTTGAAACACATACTGTATATGGGAAACACATACTGTATATTACCTGCCAAATGATTTGTATTTCTGTACTGGGATTTACCTTTCTACCACACAGCACAAGCAGACTAGCAATCTGGCTTTTCATGCATGTAGTGGAAGAGATAAGTAACCTCCCTGCCCCAACCTTCATTGGATGGTTTAGGAGCAGAGGCAGATTTACTACGTCATCGTTCTGCATTCTCCTCGAGTCTGTTTATGTTTGCTTTGCTGTCCCTCCCTCTCCCAATCACCCAGCATGCCACTTAACAACAGGAGATTGAAAGAGGTGGAAATCAAGTAAAACCCAGGTATTTGTATTAGTTGCATTTACATTCATTTAAATATTTTTACGAAATGCATATCTGCATTCACTAGTATTTCTAATCATGTCTGGGGTTCCATTGTAAAGCATTTTAAAACTGAGACAATTGCTGCCCAATCTGACCAATTTTGACAAGATCAGCTGAGACTCCACATTATAAATAGGTAGCAGCAAACCAATGCAGGCACTGCTGATTTTGTTCAAGGGAGCAAGTAATTAGACATGCTTTTATTCATCTTATGGTGTTTTCTTCTATCTGTTGTAAGGGCCGGTCTACACACCTACACAATGTGTAATGTGTCTATTCAGCCTTATTACAGTATCATTACAGTGTTGTACCATGTTAGTCATGAGTGGTAGGAAAGTAAAAGTGTATTAGATATCTTTTATGTGGCTTACTAAATATATTCTGAGGTGCAAGATTTCAAAAACTTTTAAATTGTGTCTGAACAAGGAAATTGAGGGCTGCATTTATAAAGAAGTGCATGTGACACTCCCATATATTCATTTCAGGTCATTCCTCTGGTGCATGTGTGGCCTAAAATGTGGAATATAACATGGGTGCAAAAATGGAAAAAAGGGCCTCAGTCATGAAGGGGTTAAATTACCCGTGATTTATTGAGAAAGTTTGATGAATGTTACACTCACTGCTTTATAAAAATGCCCTTTAAGTGTCTTTAATGTTTACAAATAAAGCTTAAAATTTTATGTAATTAAAACATACTTTACACAATATTATAGATATGTTTTAAAGAGTGATTCCTGAATTTGAAAAATGATTCACATTATATAAACCTATAATCATATGTGTTGCAATGAGTGAATTTTTAAAAATCAATTTCACCCACAATTCACCCAATTTGCCACTGGAGTCCAATTCAAGGCCTTAATATCTGCCACAGTTTGCACATGTTCTGACAGTGAGATTTGATATGGTTAAAATGTATCGTGTTAATGCAGAAGCAGGAAATTAATAATCACTATTGTTATGGAAAATTGAATAAAGATTTATATGCTTAAAAAGAAAAATCACTATTGTGTGCATAATTTACCCTTTTTGACCTAAACATAAATAACAGTAACAATGTTATACATTCAGCATCTTGAAATGGGTAGGAAGGATGATGAGAATAATGATGATGTTAAAGGACAATACAGCCTTGGATTGGGTACAAAGGCTGAAAACGAATACAAAATTATCCAAGGTTGCTGCTATGCTATGGTGCTACTATATGGTAGCACTAAAGCATAATAGCAACCTTGGATTGGGCATATATGCTGCTGCTGATGATAAAATAGAGATTTTATATATTATAATTTTCACATATAGCATATACTGTATAACTCATATATATTTTGTAACTGCTTGCAAAAGATAGGATTAGACAGATCCTAATGAGGCAAGCGGGGGTCTATCATGATCTGTTCCCTTATGAATTCTTGGACTGACAGCAGCAGTGAGTAACATTCATGTCAAGAAAAAAATCTGTTTTTTTCATACATTTTTCTAATGTAGTAATGCCACAGTAAAATGACATGGGTTTTCAACTTTTGGTTATCGATGTGCAGTGGCCTTGACTGTCCCTATGATTTTAATACTCAAGGCCTTTAAGCAGCAATAGCTTCAGCGCATTCAGACAATAATAATCATTTTATTGCTGTAATATTTATATAGGGACTGTTGTGAAGGGCAGACCAAGCACCA